AGGTGCGTGATCATCTATGTGGAGGCAGATCTAGAAACAAATAGGTTCAGTACAGTGAATTAAGTGCTGTGCCGGTGGCATTGAGAGGACAGTGACAGCTCTGACCTGGCGGGACGGTGTGGCCTGGAGGCTGACAGAATTGGAGGGTGTATTAGATCAGGCAAGGGATAAACTGTCATAACAAAGAGACTCCAAGATGCGAGGCTCAAGCAAGATAGTTTATTTTTTTCTCACAGAACAATCCAGGAAAAGTGGGAGGCTGTGCTCCAGAAACTCACCCAGGGACCCCTCAAACTTTATAGTAAAAGGGCCAGATAGTAAATATTTTCAGCTTTGCAGGACCTGTGGTCTCATCGCAGCTGCTAAAATCTGCCATTGTAGCACAAAAACAGCCATAGATGATACGTAAAAAATGTACTTGGCTGTGTTCCAATAAAACATTATTTACCAACAGGTGATGGGCCACATTTGTTCTATGGACAGTAGTTTGCTAGCTCCTACTCTAGGTCATTATCCTCTTCTGCATGGTCAAAGTCAGGTTGCTGTCACACCAGGTTCCAGACAAGAAGGGGAAAGGGCAAAAGTCCAGAGCAAGGGGTTTTCTTCTAACCAAGTAGCGCAGGATCACACAATCATTTCCACTCACATTTTATTGGTGAAACTTAGTCACATGGTCCCACCTTGCTGCAAGGGAAGCTGAGGAACATGGTCTCTAGGTGAGCCGCCATCTGGCCAGGAGGAAGGGGAGAATAAATGTGGAGGGACGCCGGCTGTCTTCACCACTTGGTGTAGGGTACATCATTAATGCCAGGATCCACTGCAGTTCGTAGCAGTCAAGCTATGGAGAGCGTGCGGATGAGTTTGTATCAGCAATTCAGATGCCTGTCATCTCACATTTTTCAAGCTATAGGTCTTGACCCAGTATTGAGTCATGAAATCAATTCAGCGGGTTGTGACCAGTTGCTTTTTTTTTAAAAAAAAATGAAAAATATGAAATGAAACAAAATAGAACAGAATATAAAAATTAGGGTAGAAAATATCAGAGTATCTTGTACATAAATAAAGTATTGTTTTATGAATAATTCTGTGTACTAGGTTATGATGTAAAATATACTTTTTACCTCAGGTCACAGTCAAATGTTTAAAAAATAGTGCTCTGATTCAGAATCTTTCCCATTTGTACTTTAAATTTCCCTTTCTTTCTGGGTGAGCATCTCTCTTTAATCGTCACTGGTTGTTCCTAAGACTTCCTTCAGTGGTTGTCCAAGCTTTTGAGTCTACCTTCGGGTTTGTAGGCAGAGAAGCAATACCTTGCCCAGTTAAAAACAGTGCTTAGAGGTTTCAGAGAGATGAGAAATGATGCCCAGAAGGAAGTGGATGGTTTTTTAAAATCCTGGTCTTGTCCTAGGAATTCCCCTGGCAGTGCAGGCTGTAAATCGGTGAGGGATGGGTTGGCTAGATCCTGGCTGTCTGTGTGTCAATAATGCTCCCCAGAGATGGAGAGATTGGCATCCTCTTCCCAAATCCCTTGGATGTCCATGATCTCAATCGACCTTATGCATAATGGAGGAGAGATCACTTTCCAGCATATTGCATTATATCATTGCAAAGGCTGAACAGAGCAATTAAAAAACTAAGTGCAGTTTTATGACCCTCTGGGTATTGTTACTATCTTCATAATCATTAGATTTAGTGCAAGAGATGTATTAATTAGTGGCAAGAGGAGGCAGAAAAGTGTACTGTATAAGAGAGCTTGTGGTCAGCACCATATATGCATTTTAGCTAAGTCTCAGAAATATCAGTAATTTGTAGGGAAAAACCTCACTTTCATACCGTTTCAAGAAAAAACTTAGTTGTATTTTCAAAAATATTAACCAGATTCCTTTTACCTCCTGCTAATTGGTGAGCCTTTCTCAGCATGTACAATCCATCAAAGAAATACAGTGCTGGACAATGTTGCACCCCTTTAAAAAATAAGAAAACATTGTAGAATGAGACTTAAAAACTCACAGAGAAAATCGTACAAGACATGGTGAAAAGGGGCATGTTCCAATTTCATGGGTCAATCATTTCCTTTCCTGTGAGTTAGGAAATCAAACATGGAACGTTTGAACTAGAAGGAAACTTACTGATCTAAAAGAGGTTCAGAGAGGTAGTCTGTGCCAGGTTCCCTTAGAAAATTCTTGGTTCATATGTTTATCTCTCACATAGGGTGGTTGGCCTTAGACGTCTTTAGATTTAGGAGATATTCTTAGAGATTTCAGGATTGATTCAGGGATTACAGGTCCTGTGATGTGAGGACAATCCTCACTCATAGAATCTCATTTTCCCTTATAGAAGCCTGTCCTTGTGACCAAGTGGAGCTAGAACATTCTTCATCCTTAAAAAAGATGGTGGCACTAGCCACAGTCATGTCTCTCAAAGTGGCTGGCCATCACAGCTTTGGCACTGTATTGGTCAGGTGGAAGTGCCTGTAGAAAGAAGTGATTTGGTAATCCTCAGCAACACTGTAGTATTTCTCTGCAGCAGGTTTAAACGTCATTCTGTTTGAGTCTGGTCTTGGGAGTGATGTAAGAGTTCTTTCTCTTCTTGACTCCCCCTTGAAGTCTTAAAACCTCAGAGTAGATGATTTCTGAATATTGGGATAAGGCAGTGGCTTTCAAATGTTTTGACTGCGACCACAGTGCGAATGTTACACTGTGATAAATACATGCATTTGTCTCTCTGTATCTATATTCCCAAAGATATATTGCTTTTTTGATAAAACCTCATCAAACAATACCTACCCTTATTGTGTGTGATGCATTGTGACGTTGACTATTCTATTTCATTAAAAAAAATGCCAGTCAGGGCCGGCCCAGTGGTGCACTGCTACAGTGCGCCGCTTGGGAGCGCGGTGGCGCTCCCGCCGAGGGTTCAGATCCCACATACAGACC